ATTGATTCAGTGACTGGGATAATTGGGATGGGAGTGTCAGAGACAGTGCGATTGGCACAGGACAGAGCGGAGTTTAGGGCTGTTGTACATAGGGTGGCTATGAGTCGCAGGCGACTCGACGGCACATAACAACAACAACATCAGGACAAATTAAATGAGGATATGTTGTTGTTCTTATGTATCAAGTTGAAATCAGCTCACTCCAGTTTTCAGAGGAGGCTATAAATCACATACAAGGAGACTGCCCTTTTCTCCTTAGAGCAGCTTAGTGGATTCAAACCATATACCTTCAGGCTGGCAGTACAACTTCTTACCACTAAAGCTCCCTTAATGAGGATCTAGGTAGCTGTAAAATTGAGAGGCTTGAGGGAGGAGAGAAAGGACTGAAGTAGGAAAGGACACAGACTTGACAAATGAAACTGAAGAAGATCTGCAGTGACTAGAAAGGAGATGGAGAACTGGTACAGCACCTGGAATAAAGACTAGAGGTGTGGATGATTATTAAATATTGTACAGCCACTATTATAAAAACAGAGGATACTGGATTTGATAGTCAACCTCAATAAACTGGATCCTCTTAGAAAACAGCTAAAACAAATCTCATTACAAAAATAACCTAGAACAATCCCAGAGGCGAACGGTTCGAATCCACCAGATGCTCTGCCGGGGAAGGAGGGACAATCTCCTCCTGTACCAGTCAGATCTGATTTTTTTTTTTTTTTTTTAGTCAGATCTGATTTGACGGTACACGCACACAAAAAATAATAAAATTTAAAAAAAAAATAACCTAGAGACCTTCCCCGACTACATGATCTAGTACTCAAAAGTCACTGCAGTCAATTCTGACTCAGTAACTACCAGTTTCTGAGACTAAAAATCTTAATAGAATGTCCACCTTTTCCCAGAGGATCCACTGATGGATTCAAACTGGGGAAGTGCAGCCTTCTGCAGTGCAGGATGCTATACTGTGTGCCACCAGAGTTCCTAATTACTCCCAGCGGGTGCATCCAAAAGGAAAGTGGGGAGCTGAGAAAACACCACGGGGGCTGTTTCCCTCACCAAGCAGGCTGCTAAGGCTGTGGATCTTCTCCAGGGCTTTTGGAACTTCAGCCTCTTCATGCACCAAGGCCTCCACCTCACCCACAGCGTAGCCAAAGTCAGCTGTGTCCAGGTCCACCCTGAGTGGCAGTTCTTGAGCCCCCAAGAGCACCAGCTTCCAGGCACTCCGCTTAGTCACAAAACTAGCTACTTCCTGCAGCCCCAGTGGACCCAAGACAGCAGCCACACCTCCGGCGCCCAGGCCCTGTGCTCCTAGCACCTCACAAAGCTGGGCCACAATTGCAGGTTCAGCTGTGAGTTCCATGTATTTAGTGTGGGGTCCTGAGACACCTGCTGCTCCAGGGCATTTGAGTTCCCATCCACTCCCCTCTCGCTGTCGCAGCCAGTGATCTGCCCTCATGAGGCTCAGCACAGGAGTGTCATAGTAGCTGTCTCGAAAGGTGATCCGATGCTCCAGGGTGCATCCTAACTCCTGCAGCCGCTCCTCCGTGCCTGGCCCAGGGACAAACTTTCGCTCCACCTCTATCAAGCTTCGGGCCATGCTACCTGCAATCAACAAGTATTTCCTGAGCTCCGAAATTGGGAGAGGGCTCCAGTTAAACCTCTTCCCCTGGTGATGCACCAAAGGCCTCACCACTAGAGAGCTGGCATTTCATGTGATACCTTGGGACTCCAGCAGGCTCGCATCCTGCAGGACCCCATCCCTCTCCACCCTAGCTCGCCTCAGGTCTCACCTCAGAACCCCACAGTGGCCTTCTCACGGGACCCACTGGTGCGGGAAGTGAGCACACGCCACACCCGCGTGGAATGTCGGGAGCAGTCCCAGGCCCCCCACTTGGTCCCGGCTCTGCGCGGACGGCCAGTCCCAGCACCAGCGGCCATATTAGGCCCACTGTGGTAGTGCAGACGGGCAGGCAAGTGTCCGAGAGGCCTGTTAAGTTATGGGAAGGCGAGATTCCTGCAATGGGCTGGGGAATGAGGCCATCACTTCTGCTTGCGGACCCCTAGTCCTTACCCCTCTCGCCTCCTGAGGGGTCGGTGCGGGTCGCAGGCCTCAGGATGAGCTTGGCCCTTGGGGCCTCGGTGCATGCTGGGAAATGTAGTTCGAAGGGAAAACAGTGTCCCTCCGCATGCATCTCTGTAGTGAATGGAAAGCTGCAGTTAATGCTGTTGTTGATTGCCGAGCTCGATTCATAGCGACCCTATGAACAAAAAGCCTGAAGCCTTTCTAGAACTCTCGTCATTTATCAAAGTTCATAGAGTTTTCAGAGGCATGTTGCTTAGAAAGTGGATGCCACCAATTCCTGCTGGCGGAACTCAAACTAAGCTACGGCTGCAAGGCCATAGGGGAAGACACAAAGTCGCTGAGGCACAGTCCAAACCTCTCCTACTCTCTCCCTAAACATATAGGCCTGAAATACAAGTCACTTATTCAGACACTGCCCAGAAAATACTTTATTAACTATTTGCTATAAAGCTCTTCAGTTCAAACCCGTGGTAATGGACTGGGGGAAAGATAACTAATACTTGGTTTCAATGCCCCAGAAGTTTTGGAGAGGATTTAATAGAAATGTCATGCACGTTCAGGATAAGATAGGAAACTTTCTGTGTAAGGAAGAGGTGGTATTTTGGGCATGGTGAATTTTCGACAGTTAGAGACCCAAATGAAGCAGAAAACAATGTTATATTACAAAGCTCTCTTGGTCCTGCCAATACGGCATCTCCTGCCCAAGTCCTTCAACGAGAGAAGGTGAAAGCTCCTAGCTCTGGTCTCGTGAGGAAGCAGTCCCAAAGCACCTCAACTTCATGTTGGGTCACCACTGCAGTGCCCACTGTTGCTCTTTTGTACATCTAACTAGCACAAGACTCTCCGGTCCCAAAGGATGTGTGCTGCATTCTCTGTTTCTTCTTCTTTGTTGGTACTGAGATTTCTAAATTTCTGCTGCTGATTCTGCTCAATTTAAACCTAGTGGAATGGTGAAACTAGCCAATCACCTTGTGGACAGACCAACACATCTTACTTGCATGTTCTTGCCCAGCGATATGGCAAAGTCAAAGGCAATGACCTCGGAAAGCTATTTTGAACAAGAGACCCACAATACCATAGGCCAATGCCTGGCTTTTCTAGTCATTGTCTTTCCAATTTGAAGGATTAACTTTGCTTTTACAGTTACGTTACTTGTAACTACATTTATCAAAGAGTGTAAGCCGGCTCTTTACACCATGAGTGAGCATACACACCAGCTCATTTTAACTTTCACTCCTTGAAAAGGGCTCTGATGGGCACCAGCTTTTCCCAGCCTCAGAAGCCAAGTCCCTTGTTTTAGTTGTCAAAAGTGAAAGCTCCCTCGTTGAGAGGTTTTTTTCCCTACTTGCCCTTAAAATGAAATTTCTTCATTCAGCCATCCTAGATGAACCTGGAAATCCATTAATTTTAACTCATAACTCAGAATACTGCTGTTATTAGTTAATTTTTAGTTGACCCTTCAGCAATTTTTCAGATGCCATGGGAGGAGATTGGCCATCTTTCTCCCTCAAATCAAATAGTGGATTTGAACTATGTGCCTTTGGGTTGGCAGCACAGTTCCTTACACTAGATCACCAGAGCTTCTAGGATACTGGGCGGGGGTTAATCTTTCCCCTAGACTAAGCCCCTGCACTAACAAATTCTACTTTTAACAAGTGAGTCTCCAGAGCAAATCTTCCCTTTTAGTACATACAATAAAATAATGGCAAATGTGGACTTACACAATTTCTTTCTATACTCTACAATACCTGGCATTCATTTTTAACATACATCTTAACACTACTACATTAGATACAGAAAAAACACCAATACCCCTCAAATAAAATCAACATAAACCTTAACATATAATAAGTATTTTAAAACCAAACCAAACCATTCTTTCTCATTCTTCACCCTTAATTATGAGCTTTAACATACTCCATTAATACATATATGACTTGGGGTCTCTGCCTTTTTCTTAGGCCAAAAGAAGCTTTTTTTTCTTTTTTCTTTTTTTTTTTAAATTTTATTATTTTTTTGTGTGAGTGTACCGTCAAATCAGATCTGACTGGTACAGGAGGAGATTGTCCCTCCTTCCCCCGCGCAGCATCTGGTGGATTAGAACCATGTGCCTCTGGGATTGTAGTTGCAGCTCCTTGCCACTAGGCCACCAGAGCTCCCAAGAAGTTTTTTTTTTTAAAAAATTTTTTTTTCAAAAGAAGCTTTGTAACAACAAAAGTAATCATTTTAGCTATACGTTTCAATCTTCTAAATTATTATTTTTACAAAATCCCACATTTCCTTTTTTTATTAATTTTAATGAAAGTTTACAGAGACTTAGGGTTTCCAGTCACTCATAGTTGCATGTTTCTCCCTGCCCACCCTCCCATTCACTTTTCTCCTTGCTGAGTAAAAGAAAAACTCTTCCGTTGCTATGCAATCCCTCCCCCCAAGTCCACTGCACTGTGTAGCCTTCATTCTGGACTCCTGTCATGACATTAAAACCTAATCATATATCCCTTTTAAACAACTCTCTCCCTCATCTGTTGCAATGCAGTATACATAACTCCTTCCCTTCTCTGTATTCCCTCAATCCCAATGTCAGTCCTGTTTTACAATAGTGGCCCCATGCAGTATTTGTCTTTTTGTGACTGAGCTATTCCACTCAGCATAATGTCCTCTAGGGTCATCCACTTAGCACAGTATTTCATGAGTTCCTTGTTTTTCAGTGCTGCAAAATTCCCACAGTTCTAAAACAACTATGAGGTATAATCTCACCCCATTGACAATAGCAGAGTTCAGTAGAGCAGCAAACAACAAATGTTGGTGAGGCTGTGGAGAGACTGGAATCCTTATTCACGGCTCGTATAAAATGGAGCAACAACTATGGAAGGAGGTATGGCGTCTTCTCAAATGGAAAGAGAAATACCCTTTGACCCAGCAATTCCAACTAATAGGAATATACCCTAAATAAACCAGAACTACCACCCAAACAGATATATGTGCACTCCTATTTATTGCTGCTTTATTCACAATAGCAAAGAGATGGAAGCAACTCAAGTGCCCATCAACAAATGAAAGGATAGAAAAACCATGGTATATTTACACAATGGAATATTACGCAGCACTGAAAAACAAGGAACTCATAAAATATTACACAACATAGGTGACCCTGGAGGACATTATACTGGGTGAAATATCTCAGTTACAAAAGGACAAATACTGCATAACACCACTGTTATAAAATAGGACTGACATGGGATTTGGGGGAACTAAAAAAAGAGGGGATAAGTAATGAATACTGCATTGGAACAGGAGAAGGAAGGAATAGTTTAAAAGGAATAGATGACTAGGCAAGCTCTGGTGGCCTAGTGGCAAGAAGCTGCACTGCAATCCCAGAGGTGCGTGGTTCAAATCCACCAAGGAGAGACAATCTCCTCCTGTACCAGTCAGATCTGATTTGACAGTACACATACAAAAAATAATAAAATAAAATTTAAAAAAATTTTTAAAAGGAATATATGATTACACATTATACGTACAACAGCACAGAATAAGAGGTACATTGCAAAGAGGACTGGGAGGGGAGGGGGTCGGACGTAATTGTGAAACAATGAACAAACTTTAAAAAAAATGAACTGAGAGGTAAGAGAAGGAGGGGCATAAAATGAGCAACAATGAATAAATGAAATCTAACTTTCCTGTAAATTTTTGTTAAAATCACAATTATTTTATTTTTTAAAAATCCTCACACTTCTATGAGTCTAGAGCCATTGCAATAAATCCTACTTCTAACATCAACTATAAAAAGAGTGAGAGCACTGTGGAGACCGTCATATCAGAATAGATGTGTATCTGAAGGGAATGTTTGAAAAAGCGTTTTGAGGGCAAGGCTTAGGAGTTCAGTCAGTTCCCACTGGCCCCTGAGTAGTCTGTCAGGAATATGAGAAATAGTGATCTAAAATAAGGAAGGTATAAGGGTGCCCCTTGCCTGCTTTCTTTCTTTTCCTAAGAAATATAATTGCCCCCACCTTAACTGAATGTTACAATCTAGCTTGTTGAGGAATAGTGAATTTTGTCAATTAGTAGGCTCCCTTTTTTGATGTGTAAGAAATCCCAGGTTTTTGATATCTGACAAAAAGTTTATTTATAAAATTTGAGTACATTGTTTCTGAGAACAGATTCTTCCAATTTCTCTCACCCTCCACTCATCAAATTGTACAACTCCATGAGTAACCATCCCCTCCCCTTGCACATCCTCATCCCTCTGCTTCCACCCTCCCTCACCCCCCATGGATTCTTATACTCATTCGAGAATAATGGTTTTATACAATATTTGTCATTGTGGGACCGAGTTAGTTCACTCAATATAATGCTCTCCAGTCCCTTCCAAGTTAGATAATAATTTACCAAATGATTGCTCCTGCATGATGCATAATATTCCATTGTGTGAATGTACCATAATTTCTCAATCCATTTGTTTGTAGTTGGACATTTGGGCTGTTTCCATGTTCTTGCGATGGTGAATAATGCTG